ACAATGTAAGAATAATTACTGTTTCTTAGTATTATACAGAGATGACAGTCAGACATTTTAATAACAGACACAGCACAGCACCCATCAATCAGAAGGGATGCTAGACATAGTATTGGAGGAACGTCCCAGAGCCCCTCCTTGTTTCTCCATTCTGCACCCCACCCCCCTCCCCCCAACTCCCTGGCATTACTCTTTCAGTTGCTAGATGCTGGGGAGTAGGGGGATGGGAAATCAGAGTGGCTATTTGCCTTCCAGTATGGAATTGGTATTTTAATAACCGGTGTGGCTATACTGGTGTCCTAACTGAATATGAACGCTGGGCAGGAGGGTTTCTACTGCGGCTTGAAGTCTTAATGATGTAGCATTTCTTCAAAGAATGGTTTCCTGTTATCTCCAGGAATTTCTTCTGTGCTGACAGTATTCCATTGTGCAAGTCTTGCTGCAGAGGTATGGGAATAGTAACAACAACTGATATACCTTTTGGCAGACCACAAATGTAAGATGGACTCCAACTGCATAGATGTTAAAATGTGGAAAAAGGTGCATCACATAATCTATGAACTACACTTTAAGATTTGTTTTATTTCCTTTCTGCTTCCATCAATCCCGTCTTTTCCCTAACACCTTGATTTTGCCAATTGTAGTTTTGTTGACCCTTTTAGAATCAAACTACTGAGGTTCCGAGGAGATGGTCTGTACCCTCTGTTTACATGAGAAGCTAAGGGTTTGGGTGGCCACAAGTAAAGAACTGTTGGTGTGCATTGACAGAACGTTTTATTAATTCTAACCTTTCCCAGCCCAAGCAACCTCACTGTGTGCCACAGAGCGCCCTCTTTGTAAGGGACTGGAATTGCTGGGAAAGCGGTAGTGGCTTCTTGGTGCTGATAGAATTGGGACATAAAATTAGGGTATGTTAATCCTTGGAGATTTAGGGACAATTACCAGTTATATGTGATATTCTATGTCCTGGAACAACTCACTTCTAGCATATTAGGAATACAGATACATATTTGGGGAGAAAAGCAAGAATGCAAACAGTGCTTACTGGTTTAGGAAGAAAGCTTTAGCAGCGTTACAATGGATACATCCACAGTGTAAATAGAAAAGTAAGAGGGGGATTTACCTGATATAAACACACTGTTGTCCTCCTCAAATCTGTCTCTAAATATCACCCATAAAAGGGCTTTGTAAACTGTGGAGCGCTAGACAAATGTAAGACTGTGTGTGCTCCCTCCAAAAGGGAGAGATCACCAGCTCTCACATAATCCCCACCTGTGCCCAACTCTGAGCACTTTCTCTGAGCTGTCTCTTCATTTCTGATTTAAAGAAAGGTTGAACAAACAGGAATAGAAATAATAATGTGCTTGATATGATATAGGAATTTTTCAGAAATAATTGTGCTTTTTACTCTTTCCACTTAACTCTCATATTCTTTTGTTGAATTTATTTAATCTCTATATCCTCTTCCTTCTCTAGAACCAGGGCTCCCAGAGTAAAACTTCTTTCTTTTTCCTTTAATTAAATGAATTAACTATCTCTTTTTTTTACAAATTCATTTTCCCCTTCTCCCTCCAGAGGCTCTCACTTTTCACCTGACTGAAATTTTTTGGGTTACAGAAGTCTTTCCCTTGCTGGCATTTTATTTTGAAGTGTTTATTTCAATTCGACAAATATTTGAACAGTGGAATTGCTGGAGGGTCTATGCTAGACGCTACAGGGGGTAAAATAGATAAATGTCACAGTCCCTGATAGCGCCTACCTTCAAAGGGCTTAGTTGCTAATCAGGAAAACTAAGAAAACTGCACAAATAACCATAAGGCAAGGTAGAGTACCTTATGCAGGTACAGGCAGAGATTACACTTAAGACTGGCGAGGATTTCCTCTCAAGAGTGCTCTGTGGTTCTCGTTGTTCACTTACTTGTTTCTGTCAGTCATTTCTTGTACACCTCAGAGTTTTCTTTCTAAATGTTACAGAATTATTCTTTCCTGCAAATCCTCTGGTTTTCTACTACATTTCCCTGTTGAACTCCTAAATTCATGCTCGGACTTTGCAAATATGCTTTAGGCTTTTTGTTTGTTTATTTATTTTTAATTGAAGGATAATTGCTTTGCAGTATTGTGTTGGTTTCTACCAAACATCAACATGTATCAGCCACAGGTTAACCCATGTCCCCTCCCACCTGAACATCCCTCCCACTCCCTCCGTACCCCACTCCTCTTTTCAATCAAAAGGAACAGTGGTAAGAAACTGTAATTTAACTAGTGTTTTGTTTTGTTTTTTATCTGTTTTGAATGGCCTTGACCTTATGAGTTGACATTCCTGTCTGTGATTTGCATGTCTCTTCTCTGCCCCCACCCCTTGAGCATGGCACATATCCAGCGGCCTCAACAGCAGCTCCCCATTATATTTGTCCTTTACTCACTTGTTTCTGTCTTGATATCTCTGAAAATCCAGACAGTAAAATTCCTCAAGTCACATAGTTTTCTCAATTTTTACCCTGTTTTCCTTTATCCCCTCGCAAAATCTCAAGTTGACCTAAGTCATGGGCTTCTCCAAGAATGAAGTTCTTTTAATGTTTAGCCACAGTTAGGGGGCAAATAAAAGTAAAGTCTTCATAATTATTGGGGAATTGTGTTAGTGTAAAGTGATACTTCCCATGATTTATATGTATATAGGGGCATCTGAGAAAAAAAGCACATTCATTCCTGTCTTGGTTGATTAATGGACAGATTTTTTTTTTCTCTTTTTCTTCACTAGCAGAATCCAGATTTTGCTCATGCTCCTCCTAGTGGACATATCCTTAAGAGGAGGCTGGAAGTGGATCTCAATCTCATTGCCCACCACAAACACAAAGTTTAGATACAGACATGATGAAATACTGGCAAATCAGATGAAAGGGAACAGCTTCTGAACGGCTTCAGGAAGTTTTCTTTACTTAAAAATGAAGATGCTCTGTTTTCTTGCATCGTCACCTACAAGGAATGCTAGAAAGCATCACTACCACTTAGCATTCATGACAGGAGAATAACTGGAGACCACAGAAGAGGGAGACAAACAACAGTTTCATCCCAGAGTCATTTTGTTAACCAACCCATGGCTTTTCTACAACTAGACTTCTTGGGTGACGTTATAAATATTTTTATGGTTTGCCACTATTACTTGGGCTTTCTGTTAATTGCAGTTAACCACAGATACTTTTCATTACAGATGTAAATTATTTTTGAAATATGTAAATTATTTTTTAAATATACAAATTATTTTGTTAAAACCCTAAGATAAAAGTCATGATTATACTGCTCTGTAGGACAGTAAGCAGTACTGTATCTAATCTAACAACTTTATTTCAACAGTCTCTGCTGCCTGTGAATATTTTTTTCTTTGATTCTCCTGGAATGAACTTCATCATTTTTTCAACTTCCTCATTAATGAGTCAATACATCTTTGATGCGTTTTCATTCTCTATTATAAGTTACATATGTACCTTTTTGAAAACTGTAGTTAAATAGCATTATTATTTCAAATTTTCTACTGAATTTCAAAGTGGTTTTCCACTTGAATTTAATTCAACTCTTTTATTTACAGAATTCCTGTTTCCCTGTGGTAGAGGATGCAAAGGTAGAACACAGGGATGAGAGGAAAGACTAAGAAGCATCATAGAGTATTTTCAGTAATTTCTAGCCTTGCTTAGTAGCTACTGGGTACCCTAAGGATTGCTCTGGCCAGTACAAAGCAGCCTTGAAGTGTGAAGTCATTATAAAGACTTTCCAAGAGCCTGTGATCATTCAAGATTCTGATGATACAACTAGAAAAGCCTACAGAGGTTATCAGACATAGCAGATATCCTGAAGAAAAAAACAAAAAACTCAACAGGCACCAAGTCTTTCTGGAAACAACCTATTTATCAATAATCAGTTATTACAATGGATTATTAAGGGCAACACTCACTCATGTTTCCTTGGGAACCACGAAGTTTGAAGTTTTTATTTTTAAATGAACAATTAACAAATGGAAAGGACTAAAAAAGGTTTAATTCGAGGACTGCCTCTCAAAATTCTAGCTCCTTCAGTCTTAACAAATGCCATTAACAGACTGTACTGAAATCCCATTTCAACATCAGGGAGACTGCTACTAATCTGGAACTTTTCTCCTGTGACCTTTTACTCTTGGATTGAATAATAATTCTCTATATATTTCAGAGCACTTTGACATTTCCAAAGAGCGTCCTTCATTCTTTCACTGTGTGTATTAACATCCCTGTAAGTTGGCAGGTGACGTTCGGAATCAGGATTTTGAATGCCTAGATCTTGGGATTCCCACAACTAAGAAAGCTGAATTGCAGTGTTGGTTCTTTTTTGGAATCACCTAACCACTGTGGGCAAGGTGAATTAATAGCCCTGGGCGCGAGACATGAATCCACCATTTTTTTTGCTGCTTAGTCACTTTGTGACATTTCTTTGCTTATTAGATAAGCCGAAGAATTGAAGCCCTGCCTTTCCAGGTATTAGAATAATCAAGAGGCTGGACTTAGCATGGAGTTCAGCACATGGCGGCATTGCTTAAAACACAGCAATTAGTCAATACTGGACTCCCTCCCCGGGAGCCCCCACGGAGATGCCCTGGGTGCCAGGGTGCCGGAAGGCAGCGGAGAGGCCACCGAGCGGCTCACGCCGGTGGAGGGCGCGCCCCTGCCCTCCGGAAAGCCGCTCCGCCCGGCGCTCACTCCGCCCTCAGCCGGCCGGGGCGGGGCCGCCGTTCCCCTGGAAACGGGACGCGCTGCTAAAGACCCTCCGGAGCTCCGTCCGGCTGCGCTGTAGCTCCGAGAGCAGACGCGGGAGGCCGAGGGGGAGCAGGTGCGGGACAAGCGGCCACGCTCGCAGTGATCGCTGGGGGCGGTGGGCGCCTCCCGGGGCGCGCCTGTGGAGGTGGCCCGGCCTACCCGGGGCTGCGGAGGGACGCGCACGGGGCGCCGGCCGGTCCCGCGCCTGCTCGGACGTCCCCGATGGCAGCCCAGGTGGCCGCCCGAGAAGCCCCGACTCTCCGCCTCTCCCTTGGCGTCGGCTCGGAGGCCGCCGGCCTGGTGGAGTTGGAGGAGGAAGACGAAGACGAGGAGGTGGCGGCGGCCAGGAGAGCGCGGAGTTTTGCCCTGGACGCGCGGGTGCGCTTCGTCGGCTGCCGCCTGGAGCGGTTACTGGGCCTCCCGGAAGAGAAATGGAGCCGGCATTTAGACAGTGAGGACAACCGGCAGGTTCTGGGGGAGTTTCTCGAGAGCCCCAGCCCAGCCTGCCTCTTATTCAGCGCCGCCACTGAGGGGCGGCTCGAGGCGGCTCAACAGGTGAGGGGTGAGGGGACCCGGGCGGGACTGGCCAGTCGCGCCTCCTCGGGTTCCTTCGGGACATGTATTAGGGCTCTTAAGAATAAATAAATAAATAACTTCTATCAAGTGCCTGCCCCCGGAGCCCAGGTGCGTCCGCTCTGCTGTTGAGCGGCTGTTGGTTAGTTTTCTAGAGGGTCAGCCTTTGAACCTGCAAAAGCCGCGCGTTCTTTAGCTGCCTGGTGTTAGGCGCAAGGTGAATTCTCTGTGCCAGATAACTTTACTGTAAATCGTTCTTGGATCACTCTGGAGCCACATGTGGTGTTTGGCAGAGCCCAAATAGTTTGTCATGGCTCAGGCTGCCTGTCAACCACACTTCATCCCAGGGGATAATATTGATCCTTAGTCTTAAAAAAAAAAAAAGGATTGCCAGCAGTCTTCGCTCAGGACAGTGTTTCTTTTTCCTTTTTCAATTTGACTTCTAGTACACTTGAACGTTAACGAGTTCAGTATTTGTACTTCTACGAATACAGCATCTGTACTTCTATGAACAGTTCTAGACTTTGAAGAGTTTGGAGCAAGATTTATTGTCTCGAGATACTTTTCTGTTACGTTGTAAAGTGATACCATCTCGCTAGATGTGATCGATTATAATGGCGGGGATCCCAGAGAAAAAAACTGGAGTTTTACCTTGGAATTTTACTAATTCCGAATTTTGTTTTGCTGCTCTCATAGTTTTACTTTTAAAAGTTTGTCAGAGTAGACAAAGAGAACACTTTAGTATTAAGTTAAATAGTCATGATATCTGAAGAAATGACTTGGTAGTCATGAAAATGCTAGAATATCTTGATTAAACACATCTGTTTTTTTGCTTTGAGGATAGTAATCAAATGTAACCTCTTGGTCTTTATCTCAGTTGGGCTTATTTCTAACAGGAAAAGGTTATACAAAAGAATAACCTTTGCTGAGATGGAAACATTTCTAATTTCTCCCTGTATTTGTTTTTAATTATGAGACTTTATGGTATATAAGGATCTTCTGAAAGGTGATATTCCACACCAATAATACTGTGAAATTAGCTTTATAAAAGAACAAAGAAAACTGTATCCACGTTGCAGAGGCACAGTGGAACAATCTTATTTATAAAGGTAGGCAAGATGCCAGATTTTGTTTCTCATGCTTGCAATCCAGTTACAAGTTAGATATAGTACATCTTGTTAACATAGAAGCTACATTGTGGACTTAAAATAATTATGTTGCTCTTGTTTCAGATTCCAAGAGATGTAAAACGTAAACTTGTTTATATTGCCAAGAAGACTACTGAAAACATTGGAGTAAATGACTTCTCTCAGACAGTTTTATTTGGCGAGTTACCTGTCTCATCTCTTGGACATGTAACTGCTTTCCTAGACGAGGTACTGGTCTATCCTTAAATTTTAATATTTATCTTCATGACACTTGAAATTAATTCAGGATAACTGGCTATTAAAAAGAATGTAGCAGCTGGTCATCTCATTAGCCAGGTGGATGGAAAATGATAGCATTTAGACTGTTCCTGAAATGAGCTGATACTGATGCTGACATTCAACAGGTGGTGATTTGTAGGATCAGCCTTTACCTCTTTCTTTCTAAATAATGGAAGGAAATTAAAAAGCAACTGGAATAGGCTTCTGCACTTGGCTAAAGTATTAAACTTCTTGTTCAGAGTTTAAAGATAGAAATACACTTTGAAAAGGTGTGTTATCAGTTTTTAAGATTCCTGTTTGTTTCTAAGTGCACTCATGTGGGATAATGGAAAAAGATAACAGATGCAAAGTATTAGGAATGAGTGCCTTAAAATTCCTTTTCTCTCCCCTTCAATCAGAGAAGTGCTCTCCAAACCCATGTTACTGGCACTCTAATGTTCCTAAGAACCACTTAGGGATTTTGGTAAAGGCAAACTGATGCAGTAGGTCTGTAGTGGAGCTGATGCTGTTTGTTCACAAACCAGCTTTGAGGAATAACATACAAAATGACTGAATTTGGAAGAACCAGAGCAGTGGTTTTTAAAGTTTGCTGAAGATTAGCATCACCTGGGGAGCTAATGTAACTGCCCAGGTCACACATAATACCAATTAAATAAGAATGTCTCGGGGTGGGAGCCAGGTTGCAGTAGTGGTTAAAGATTCTCAGGTGATTCTGTGTGCGTGGTGGCGGGGGGTGGGGGGGGCTTGTGTTCGTCACTCAGTGGTGTTCGACTCTTTTCGACCCCCCATGGACTGTAAAAGGCTCCTCTGTCCATGGAATTCTCCAGGCAAGAATACTGGAGTGGGTTGTCATTCCCTTCTCCAGGGGATCTTCCCGACTGAGGAATCCAGCCTGGGTTTCCTGCATTGCCAGCAGATTCTTTACCATCTGAGCTACCGGGGAAGTCCAGGTGATTCTAATGCACATCAAATTTGGGGAAACTGTTAGTATCACTAAACTAGGTCTCAGTAGTCAAAGCAGTCTTGCCAAGACCGATATTTAATGTAGGAGTAATTGCCAACATACATATTTATTACTGCAGATTTGTCAGCCTCCGTCTTTCACGCCTCTTCTACTTCCTGAGGCTCTTCTGCTTTCTTCTTGAAAAGTATTTTCAGGCCGTCTCTGGATTAGGTAGGGCTTCTCTCCCCCAACTTCAGTTCTACCATGGTTTCCCTCTGTTGAGTTTCTATAGTGTTAGCTGATTTCCAGAAGACCCTAGGAAGAGAGTTTTCTATCTTAAGCACTTGAGACAGTTTTTGTTATGTCACAGGTGTTCAGGAGATTTTTACTGAACTGAATCTGATGAAAGGGTTTCACATGGAGTGTACATGACCTTTGGTCACGGGAATCCAGGCTGCCATCAACTGGACTTACAAGTGCAAAACTGCACTCCTTATTGGAATGCTTTCTCTCCCATCTGTGACAAAAGATAGAAAACTCTTTTAGGTTTCTCTGACCTTTCTCTGCATAGCCCTCTGAAAAGTTTAAGTGAAACCGTACACTGTCCATGAGTTTATCTATAGAAGACATAAAACATTCAGAACCTCATGGGTTTAGGTGGTTTTGGAAGATTCTAATTTATTTAACTTTGCTTGAGGATATGAGCACTGGGACGAAAAAAGGACATCACACTTACGATGTCCCTTGGGTGTCTTTGTGGACAATACTTAAATTTGGAATGAAGGGGCCCTAAGGCCTGGCAAGAATCCAAATTCTCTGTGACTGACCTCCCTGTGACCTCTCAACTCATTTCCGTTGCTGACTCCTGGCTTCCTTGTGATGGTTCCTTAATTATTTCAGGCATACTGTTGCCCTAGGGCCTTTGCTCTCGCTGTTTCTTCATCTTCCCCAGAATCCACTCAGCCTACCCATTCATGTTATTTTGCTCAAATCTCTCTTGTCTGTGAAGCCGCCCTCCAGGGGAACAGGGGTCTTTGAAGGGCCCGGACCTAGGGTCAGGCAAGTGAGGCACCCAGCTCAAGAGGAGAACTTCCAGGGAGGTGAGGAGAAACAAAAACAACTCATTAATCAAGATGAGTAATAGTTTAAGGCAGTTTTCTTTTTTTATTTTGGCTGCACCACAAGACTTACAAGATCTTAGTTCCCTGACCAGGGATTGAACTCAGGTGCTAGCAATGAAAGCATGGAGTCTTAACCACTGACTACCAGGGAATTCACTAAGGCAGTATTTTAAAAAAATAAAAATTAATGCAAGTAAATCACTTTAAAAATAGGATCACTAACAGTGCTATGCCAAGTCATATTGGAGCCTAAGGCAAAATATCAGTAACACTCATCTTTATTAAAAAATGTCTATTTTATCAGTTTGGGATTAACTTTTATTTAAAAAATATTTTAAAATATGATTCATCTTATTGAGTTGTTGAGCTTTCCTGGTAACTCAGGGATGAAGAATCCACCTGGAATGCAGGAGACTCAGGTTCGATCCCTGGGTTGGGAAGATCCCCTGGAGAAGGAAATGGCAACCCTCTCCAGTATTTTTGCCCAGAAAACCCCATGAAAAGAGGAACCTGGCGCGCTACAGTCCATGAGGTCGCAGAGATTCGGACACAACTTAGTGAATAAACAACAACACATCAAGTTGTTGCTTGTGGGGTTTTTGTGGCCTCTTATATTCCGTTCCATAGTGAATGCCTTACTTGCCTCACCCTCGTCACAGCTCTTACTCTTTCCTCACTGTGTGCTTGCGTGCGCAGTTACATCCGGCTCTCTGCGAGCCCGTGGACTGTAGCCTGCCAGGCTCCGATTCTTCGGGCAAGAATACTGGAGTGGGCTGCCATTTCTTTCTTTAGGGGCTCTTCCCAGCCCAGGAAATGAACCCACGGCTCTTGCGTCTCCTGTGTTGGCAGGCAGGTTCTTTACCAGTTGAGCGACCGGGCATGAGTCCCAAACCCGCAAGATTCTGCCTGACATATAGTAAGAGTTAGGTAAGTACTTGTGAGATGAATGAAAGGCAAATAAGGGCTAAAGATACCCTCTTCTAAGAGACAGAACAGTGGAGCTGCAAGATATTTTTTAGAGGAAAAGTATTTGGTGTATGACCTCCGTTATCTCCATGTGAATTTTTTTGACATTTATGACAACTGCGGGCCGATTACTGTACAAATTCCCAAGTGTCCCTTTGGGCTTTTCACTTGGAATTTGTATGCTAACAAACCCACAGTTGTCATTTTTTCCTTTAGTCAGTGCTTTTTTATTACCTACTTGGTACCACTGACAGAACACACCTGGCAGTTAGTAGTGACATTTCTGCCCTCAGAAAGCATGTCTAACTAGGGAGGCAGACAGCTGAACAAACAGAGATATGGCGTGGTGGGCATTGTGGTTTCAGCAGGATGCTGTGACATCTTACAGAGTTGTCAGGGAAGGTAGGAAGTCTCAACTTGAATAGGTTACAGGTCTTGATTTGCCTGAGTTGGTTCCAGTCTCCTCTGTTACAGATCGGATGACATCTGCTGATTCTTAGTGTTTGTTTTTACTCTCAAAAGCACCCACAGTTGTATGGTAAATTATTTGTTGAAGGTAAATCATTGTAAATTATTTGGTAAATTGTTTGTTGAAGGTCAGGGAGCAGTAGCTAGGTGTGGAGAAGGGATGAAGTGAGAAGCAGTGCAAAGGCCCAGAGGTGAGGAAATGCAGATGCATTTTTAAAAACAAAGTACATACTACAGTTAGATTGGGGAAGAAGAGCTGGAGGGTGGTGAGAAATAAAGCTGGAAAGGCTGATTAGAAAATTAACACCCCTGCAACTTTTTCATCCAGGTGGTTGCCATCAAAGCCAATTGTCAAACCCACATCCATGTATTTATTGAAAGATGATAGTGGTTATGCATGTTCTCTGAAGGTGCATAATAAAATTAGGACAGATTTCATTTAAAAGTTTGAAATCAAATGGGCCCTTTGTGACTTGCATTCCAAACTAATTAACTACTATCTTTCTGGGTACTTTCTGGTACATTAAGAAGAAAAACATTTAATGCAAGGATTGGTGAATCGGTGACTAAATCAAGGACCAAAGAGGGACTATGTTACTGAAGCAGTGATTGGGTTGAAAAGTGTTGAGGGAATTTTCCAGTGTTGTGGTTCTTATACTGGAGTAAATTAAAGGGATGGACCAGGTATTTGAACAGAAGATGATTAAAAGTCATTTATGACTTCATATTTATTTTTTTCTCCTTTAATGACCTAATATAATATACTCTAATTTATATCCAATGTTGTATAGTCTTTGAAGTTTGACACAGGTATACACCAATAAACAGTAATTTTATGTTGATATGCTAGGCTCTCCCAAACTTCTCTTCCCAGCCCTGATCTCTCTCCTGAACTTCATGCTTGGACTTCCACCACCCTACTGGACATGACACTTGCTGTGTAATAGACATCTCAGATCTAACGTGTGCAAAATTTTACTCCTGATCTACTGTTCAATATTGTCATGTGTCTCTATGTGCTATTATTTTAACTATATCATGTAATTTAGCAGAAGTATTAAAAGTCATGCAGTTTTTAAGTATTATGTTGACCCATATCTTGAAAGAAACAATAACTGTAAATGTTTCTCAAGCCAGAATGAAAGTATGATTTGGTTCTTGGAATTGGTGTCTGGACCACATTCCTATACATTTCAATTTAATAAGTCTAGCAGAAGTTTAGGCTCCTGTATTTTGAAATTGTTGACCAGGTAATAGTCTCTACTGATTTAAGGACTGTTGTTAAAAGGAAGATGCCAGTTTCAAAGAAGGATAAAGAAAATGAGTAAAGAGAATGCTAGCAAAGACTTTTCTACCTGTAATTGTATATCCACTAGTAAACATGTCCAAATTATTTTGGTTCAGAGAAAGTTTGGGGATTTTCCTTATAAAGCATAAAACCTACACAAAAAACTTCCAGCTAAAAACAAAACCCCAGATTAATTGAATTCCTTTGTATATGCTTGTTGCTAATGAGGTTTATTTTCACTACAGAGCACATCCCAGGTCAACTTGTTTGAAATGATGTTCATGGAGATACTCTAGCCCTCTGCTTAACTGCTCTACAAAGCATGTGGCTCAGAATTGCGTAACAGTTTTATCTATAGCTTATGACACAAATATTTAATTTTAAAAGAAGTTGGTCTTGTCACAGAACAGTAAATAGAGCAAAAGTTTGAAACAGCATCCAGTAAACTCGAAGTGTTGAAGAACCAGAATTATCCCTATTCCTGACTTTTAGAAAAAGCTGTTGATACTGGGAATTGAATCTAGAAAGCAGTGGGTCAGTGGGTCAGTGCACAGGCAGCCCAGCAACTCTAAGTCTTCAGTCTCGTTTCCAAAGCTCTTCACGCACCGCCCCCTGCTTTCCTCACAGCCCCTCTCCTTGGGAGGTGCTGGCTCCAGGTTCAAGGAGGCCGGACTGGAACTTTCTCAGAAGCAGTGTACTCCTTTAGCCTTCAGTGATTTTGCATCAGTGTTCAGGTTTCTACCTGCCCTACTCGTTCATCTTTAAGATTTAAACCAAGTATCAACTTTGCTGGCAAGTCTTCCCTAATACCCCTCTCCATCAGAGATGGGTGTTTTTCCTGTGTTTTCCGCATGACAGGACCATGTGCCTCTCGTGGAAGTTCTGACCCTCAGAGCTCGACACATTAGTTTTTTTGTTGTTTTTATTGAAGTATAGTTGATTTATAGTGCCGTATTAATTTCTTCTATAGAGCAAATTAAGATATATATAGAGAGCAAGATTCAGATATATATATTCTTTCCCATTATGGTTTATCTCAGGATATTGAGTATAGTTCCCTGTGCTATACAGTAGAACTTTATTGTTTATGCATCCTTTATATAGTAGTTGACATCTGCTGATCTCAAACTCCCCATACATTTCTCCCCAGCCCTCCTCCGCCTTGGCAACCACAAGTCTGTTCTCTGCCTGGGAGTCTATTTCTGTTTCATAAGTTTAAAAAGTTTATTTGCATTATATTTTAGAGTCCACATATAAGTAATACTACATGGCATTTGTCTTTCTCTTTCTGACTTAATTCACTTAGTATGATAATCTCTAGGTCCATTCATGTTGCAAATGGCTTTATTCCGTTCTTTTTTATGGCTGAGTAGTATTCCATTGTATATACACATACCACATCTTCTTTATCCGTTCATCTGTAGATGGACATTTAGATTCTTGCACTGAAAGACACTATTTCTTACTAATCTCCTAGCTCAAGAAGCAGTGGGTACAAAGCAGGAAAATATAATACAATTTGGAAATATTTGTTTTATCCCCATTGGAAAATGAACTGAATTTTCAGTTTGTAGTTAACTAGAAGATTGTGTTCCCAAAATCAACTTTAAAAAGGTAGGCTGTTTTCTAAGCATTTTAGCTGATGGAAATTTAATGGTTAATGCTGAAAGTCTAGACAGATTGTGTCAGAAAGAAATGTTTACAATTAGTACATATTGGAAAAGAGTGAGGAAGCAAGAAGTGACTAACTTCACTAACTCAACAGACTATAATTACTTAACATATGCTGGGCTTTGGGAACACAAAAAATAATTTTGGAGGTTTCCCACACATATAGTTTCATTGATAGTCCCTTAATTCATTCAACTTAATGGTGGAAGGAATTCCAAAAAAAGGTTCATATGATTTAATAAGTATCTTTCTATCAAAATTTAATCCACTGGGATGTCCCTCAGAGCTGGACAAGATTAATTTGCTTTTGCCTCCATGTGATTCAAGAAGATTTTTTTTCTATTAGTACACCTGCCAATGTGTTCAGTTTGCATTAAGAAAGCAGTTTACTTACTTGACATGACTTTGCTTATTTCATACAGGGTCTGAGTTACTGGGACCCTCCATAAATGTTTGATAAACATGTAAATGAATGAACAAGCAGTGCAGTACTTCCACTTTGAATTTGTCTAATCGATTAAGTCTAAGTGGGTCACTGACTTTGCCATGTGTTTGTAGATTTGATGTCACAGGAGGACATTTATGAAACTGAAATTGAGTGGTTTAGTTCCCAACCTTGTGTAACAAAATCTTTGAAGGAACACGTTGTCTGTAAATTAACTTTTCTGCTTCTTAAAATGTTTTTCTTTCTCTAGATTTTAGTGCCAATTATTTCTAATAAGAACAACCATAAATCCTGGTCATGCTTTATTTCACAAGACATGGAACATCATATAGAAGTCATGAAAAGTAAAATGCATATTTTTAGGGGCAAAATGTTGAGAAGAACTCTTCTACCAATTCCCACTATTGCAGGAAACATTGACTTGGATCAGAAATATTCAGAGACCAGGTATGTAATGATACAGTTTACCCAAGATATCAAAATGGAGAGCTGATATACCTACTTAATATCACACCCCCGTAACACCCCCCATGTTAGCAATATAGGAATATTATTGTAATGACAGCACATTTTAAAAATAAAAAAAAATAGTTATTACAATACTAAGTCCTGTCCTTAGTCAGATGAAATGACTGATTTTTGTATTGTATTATTAATCATTTCAGTGTTTGCAGACTGGAGCCAAATGAAAGGAGAGTACTCCATGCAATTGAATCAGTGGTTATTAAATGGTCACATCAAATCCAAGAGATCATAGAGAAAGATTCAGTGCAACCTTTGCTAAATGGTCTTCACTCAAATCCTCAAACTGAACTGGATTTCTGGACGATGAGAAGAGAGAACCTAGCATGCATTTATGATCAAGTAAGTAGAGAGCCCTAGAAATTGCTTGTCAGTTGAATTAGCAAAGTCCCTTGTTGAATTTGGTGCCCCAAAGAAATGACTTCCAATAACTTTAAAGGTTTAACACACTGTCTTTGAATGACTTACTCAGTTCTTACTGCAAAATTCTCTATAGTATGCATTCTTAAAATTAATGGGTATTAAAGGTGAATTTGCCTTTTTGAAAATATTTTGACAGCATGTGAGTAATTGGAAACACTTTGTGGCATAGGAAGTGTAGTTCCCAAGGGAAATGTTGAAGATTTTTATGATTTAATTAATCTAGTTGATATAATTGATTTGGGAAAGGAGTAGGCTATGCTTAGTGGAGAGATGCAACTTTAGAAGAACTAACTGGTTCCTCTGCTACTGTTTGCCTTAGAAGTTATTCAGTTTAATGTTCTAAAAACTAAGACATTCATTCACATGTTCACCTATCTCTTAGAGATTTTTCTGAAACAGATTTTATATGGAAATTTATTATCTTACATATATAATAAAATGTAAGTTAGGTTTTTAAAAAGTCAAATAAAGACCTATAAATGTAAAATAAAATACAAGCTTAAGGAAAAAATGTTAATTTTAAAAATTATTTTCAGCTTGAAACCAGGTACGTCTTTGAGTATTAAATACTGTGTCTATTGTGCATTAATGGAATACAATTTAAATATTTTTTGCAGAATGCATTTATTTAGTCATTAATCTAGGTTTTATATATATATTTCAATTTAGCTTCAGACTCCTGTTGTCCTCAAAATGGTTAAGCTCCTGAAAAATAAGCAAAGCAGCTATTTTCCAACATTGAAGGACACTTTCATGGCTGTGAAAAATGGTAAGACTTGTGTTCCTTGGCCTGGATCAGTGGTCCCTCCTAATCTGACTCCTGCCTGTTTGCTCAGCCTCCTTCTACCCTTAGTATGCTCATGAAATGATTGCACTTGACTCTTCTAATGGTAAATCCACCTTAATCGTCTACAATTTATTCTTCAACTATTAGTAAACCATTTAAGTACTTACTAAAGAGGATCTAGAGTGAACTTTCAGTGAGAGTGCCTGTGTGAAGGAAAAAGGCTTTTGGTATTTATCAGGAAGTCACTGAATGCCCAGCATGGAGATTATCTAATCAACAGTTGGGCTGCAATTAGTCCAGTTATTCTCCGAATTTGCTTAAGTTCCACCATTTATTTAACTCCTAAGAATGCAAAATCACCATTGAAGATTTAACACACAGAGAGGAGGGTTTGTTTGTTTGTTGAATTTCCAACAGATAACGCATGCACATTGTTTAAAGCCAGAAATTATAAGATGGTATTTATAATTTAAAATATAAAAGTGCAAATTCTGCTTATCTTTTCAGTACCCAGTTTCAGTCTCAACCAGGAGTAATCCCCTCCATAGTTTTTTGATTTCTGTTCATGTTTCTTTAGGCATGTATAAGCAAATATGGATATGATCCCTGATTCTAAAGCTTTAAATGATAAAATTGTAAAATAGCATGGCCCAATAGCTGGTTTTTGTTTTGTTTTTTTGGCTATGTGCACAGCTTGTGGGATCTTGGTTCCCAGACCAGAGACTGAACCCAGACCCTCAGCAGTGAAAGCAGAGTCCTAACCTCCAGACCACCAGAGAACTCCTGTTTTTGTTTCTGACATTAGAGAATTATTTTTTAATTTTTAATGTGTAATACATGGAAGGTCAGAAAATACTTAAAATTTACTTTGAGAAAGTTATGCTAACTCTTTAGGCTTTTCTCCATAAACTGTTGTCTCCATAAAACTGCCTGTTTTCAAACAGAGGGGAATTAGATCTGAGGTTCTGCCCCAGACCCACTCAGTACATTTTTTTGCTGGAGTTTCTGGTTTCCATTGGCCAAATTGACATATTAAAACTTTGTTTGCAAATTGTTGCAAGGATTGAAACACTGTTTCTCAACCTTATCACCACTGACACTTTGGGTGGGGTAATTCTTTGTTGTGGGGAACCGCCCTATGCATTGCAGCATATTTAGCAGCATTGCTGGAGTCTACCCACTACCCCCATGCCCATTATGACAGAAAGAAAAAAAAACTTAAGACATTGCCAAATGACCCCCAGTGGGGAAGACCTCCCCTGGCCGAGAACCACTGGACTGAAGATTTGACATACAGTGTACAGAGTACCCGGCTTCCCTGGTGGCTCAGTGGTACAGTGTCCACCTGCCAGTGCAGGAAATGCAGGGGATGTGGGTTTGATTCCTGGGTTGGGACGATCTCCCAGGAAAGGATATGGCAATCCAATATTCCTGCCTGGGAAATCCCATTAACAGAGGAGCCTAGGTGGGCTACAGTCCATGGGGTCGCTAAAGAGTCTGACATGACTTAACAACAAGTACAGAGTACTAGGCACACAGTACGTGTACCCTCCATAAACAGAAGCCGCTTGTGTCTTTTTCTGTTAGTAAGATTTAACATTTTCTTTGGCTACAAGGTCTGCAGGAATAAATCCCAGGGATCCTTAGAACCTTATGAGCATACAGCCTAGAGATTCAGGGAAAAAACACTTTGAGTAGAGCAAGTGGCCCAAAGCCATTGTTAGAGTTAGAAGGCCCTCCCCAATGATTTACTGGAGGCTCTATAAAGTAACTAGATATGCTTATCACATTTTAAGGTCACTTTACCTATTACATGCAGTTACTTGATTTTGAAATTAATATTGAAAACACACTCATTTTAGAACATGAGTGCATCTGGGATAAAAATGGTTCTTTCATCCCAGGTCTTTATTAGGTGGACAGATATGCGTTACTTGTCAAGTAGAGTACTGTGGGTGGGTAGATATCTGATTCCAACAGCTAAAAAAAAAAAAAAAAAAGGAGTGTAGCAGGTTATTTTGTTTTTAATCTCTAACAGTATTTCGGGATACACAAGAAAACAAGAATTTAGTTTCCTTCATATCCTACTTTCATAGGAGATGCCTTTCAGTTAAGCAAAAGTATTTGTAGCCTCGGGAGTAAAATGGAGTCTGATGGAAATTATTTAGGGCCATCAAAAGGGCCAGTTTTAAGAGAAAATTTGAATTAGATTAAGCAGTAATTAGTAATAGTTACCTATTTAAATTTTTTTCATATAGCTTTAAAAAATATACCTATTCCAACATGCTTAACAATTTTTTAAAATTTATTTTTAACTGAAGGATAATTGCTTTACAGTGTTGTGTTGGTTTCTACCAAACATCAATATGATATGCTTAACAATTTTTAAATTTGAGGTAAAATTCACATAACAGAATTTTAAAGAGTACAGTTCAGTGGCATTTAGTGTATTCACAGTATCCTGTAACTATTGCCTTCGTCTATGTCCAAAATATGTTCATCACCCATGCCTAAAAATTCCAATAGTTATATTTTGAATAATAATGTAATAGAAAATTTTTCAGTCATTGTATAAGTTACTCTCATAGGATAGAAGAATGAAACAATAAATGATTAAGTTGTGCTGGTAGCAAGTACCTAGGAGGAATTAACATCCTGCTGATGAAGCTTGTGAGTCTTCAGTCACAATTTGCTTGTGCTGTGAGGGTGAATATTGAATATGCCCAGGCTCTTTGGAAGGGTTCTTTTACCAGACAATATGTGAAGCTTTTCCTCACCTGTCATGTGTCAATGTAGGATAAATAATCTATAAAGAGGCAACATTTAAGTATAACCATGTTGTTTTGCATCATTCTCTTGAACTTGTGAAGTGAATTTAAATAGAAGAGACTGCCTCACGTTAATGGTGGTTTCCTTTCAGCTCTGCTCGAAGCCCACGATGTGGAACTTTACTTGAGACCCCTGAGGAGACACATTCAGTGTCTCCAGGAGACGGAATTCCCACAGACCGGTGTATTAATTGCCCCGTTATTTCATACCATCTGTCTGATCTGGAGTCATTCCGAGTTTTATAATACCCCTGCTCGGATTATAGTTTTATTGCAAGAGTTTTGTAATCTCTTCATTGACCAGGTATGTAGCATGAAAAAATAGAGTCAATGAGAATTATTGCCATGTGGTAGGTTTTATTGGGGTTTTTCTAGTGGCTCAGCAGTAAAGAATCTGCCTGCAATTCAGGAGACCAGATTTGATCCCTGGGTTGGGAAGATCCCCTGGAGAAGGGAATGGCAACCCACTCCAGTGCTCTTGCCTGGAGAATCCCATGGGCAGAGGAGCCTGGTGGGCTACAGTCCGTGGGGTTGCAAAGAGTCCAGTACAACTGAGCGGCTATCGCTTTCACTTTTAAAGTTTTATTACATCAGTGAGGAATGAATAAATCCAGTTAGAGATCACTTTATTCCTCTTTTTTCAGAGAGGACTTTATGGTAACAAAGGCCAGGTGATTTTCTATCCTAAATGGCAAAGGAGCACTATAAATAATTTAAATACAATCACAGGACAGGTTATTACTGGATTCTGTTTGTTTAATACCCTACCATTCTTCAGAGATTTAAGGTAGCTTCTAATACAAGGCACACATGTGTAGTACTTTCTTTGTATCTTTCCTTTTGGTTTCCATGGAAACACAGGCTGAGGGAAGACTTTTGGAAAGTAAAGTAAGAGAACCTGGTGGAAGCAAGAATGATCCTCAAAAAATAGTAGTCGAATTAAAAAAAATTTTGATTCACGGGTGATCTTTAAAAATCTCTTACTTATAATTGTTTCTCTACTCTTTGCTTACATTACAAAATATTTTAAAAAATTAGACTGATTCCTCATCCAGTGGAAAGTTTTAATTCCTCTTGAGTCGATAATATCAGAGCATTTCATAATTTCAGAGCTAAAAGATACTGGAAGGGTGTATCATCTAGTGATTGTCTAAGGGTGTGTGTGTGTGTGTATATGTATGTATGTGTATGTCTGTGTGTGTGTGTGTCTGTGTGTGTGTGTGTAAGGGCGTATCTAGTGATTGTCTAAGGGTGTGTGTGTGTGTATGTATGTATGTGTATGTCTGTGTGTGTGTGTGTGTGTGTGTGTGTAAGTCTGCTTGAGTTGCTATAACAGAATTCCACAGGTTGGGTGGCTTTATTTTCAGAAATGGCTTTCTCACAGTTTTGGAGGCTGGGAGAACAGTCCAGGTTCCTGCATTGGTGTATTCTGACCAGTGTTCTTTCTGGCTTGCCGATAGCTGCCTTCTCTCTCTGTCCTCGTGGTGGAGAGAAAGATCTTTCTCCTCCTCTTCTTACAGAACCACAGTCCTATCAGATCAGGGTCCACCCTCCTGTCCTCATTTAACCTGAATTATCTCCTGAAGACTCCATCTCTGGGTGGTCACATTGGTGGTTAGGGCTTCAACACAGGCACTGTTTCAGAGGGTATGGCACAGTTCAGTCCATAGCAGGGTCTATATCAGGGTGTGGGTCTGAACCCCTAAGGGGTTTTTGTAAAAAGGATGCCAGAGAATCAGAATCTGTGCTTGTGGCTTAGCCTTTGTGTTGCTACGATCTCCTTTTATGAGAGTCCCATCACTTCTACCTGTAACTGGCAAACCGAAACATAAAGAAGGGCCTAAGTTCACATTAACTGGAAAGTCTAAGTGTGCAAAGACTTGAGGATTAGCATTCTCCAGGAGAATCAGATGGTAATTTCAAAGCTCCACTTTGTTCATTTGTGTTTGATTGACTTGATTCTTAGCCTCTCATCACATGTAAATAAGGTGGCTTTTGGTAGCACTAAAGGGATATTCTGCTACTGGAAGAACTTCCCTGGAAAGAGACTGACTTTGTTTTTCGTTCTGGACCAATGGGCTTTATGATGGACAGGGAATCCTGGCATGTTGCATTCCATGGGGTCGCAAAGAGTCAGACACGGCTGAGCGACTGAACTGAACTGAAAGCATTTTATTCTCTCTCCTGGAGCAACCCTGTGGCCAGGAAAATAAGATACTTTAGACAGATCTGGACCACTAGCTCAGGGAAGGGTGGACGTCTGTGATTGACCTATTAAATCCCCAGTCTAGTCCAATGCTTTTCTTCTCATGACTCATGTTGAAAATTAAAAAGTTTTATTGCACAGTGGGACAAACCGGAGGAGATTGGGAACCCTGAAAATCTGCTCATAGTCAAGGCAAGCAGCTCAGAGCTTCTGCTGCCCAGACCCAGCACTTTGCTGTCCTAAGCATTCAAGAGAAGGGTGTTGTAGGAGAAACTGGTTGGGGAATTGGGTTCTATTCCAATCTCTGATACTTTCTCAGATGAATTAACTGAAACTTAAAAGATATCATTTGCTCAACTTCCTTGAGATTTAGGGGGACAAATTAAAGTACAGGTCTTCTGACCTGCAGTTTAGAATTTTGGGAGTGTAAGATTGAGGTAGGGATGTGGGTGTGTGGGGGTTTATTCTCTCTCAGATGGGTTCTCCTCTCTGCTTCTGACAAGATAGAATGGTATACACAAAGGTCTTTGGACTCAGACCAACCAAGATTCAGATCTAACTGAACCACTTTAGAGGAGAAGGGAATGCTACCCATTCCAGTGTTCTTGCCTGGAGAATTCCAGGGACAAAGGAGCCTGGCGGGCTATAGTCCACGGGGTCGCAGAAGAGTCAGACATGACTGAGCAGACAGTGGAGTTAAATCACTTCTCTGAGCCTCAGTTTCTGCCCTTGTGAGTGCCTGGTTCATGGGCTGTTGTAAGGATCAAAGGAGAGAACCTCAATGAAATGCTCAGTGCAGCATTTAATAGAAATCAGTAAAAGTTCCAAACTGGTGACTTACAAACTAGTTGCAGCTCTTGATTGGAGGTAACCGGTCAGTTCCTTGCTGTATTTTAGTGTCTCCTCTGGCTTCATTCTATTTCTGTTTCTCTGTTGTGCAAACTCAGGTTTGCTCTTTTGTTAAGTGAGCGCACTGGGCCCTGATGGACACATCTCATGTGAAAGGCTTTGATCCCTACTGTGGTTTTAACAGCTGTGACCACAGCTTCTCCCAAACCCCTTTTGAGGATCCACATCTCATTTTGAGAATGATCCAAACTTTTACTGCAAAGCCCTGTTAGTGTAGAAACCTCAAAGATTGTCATTCATTTTTATAGGTGGCTTGCAAAGAGCCCAGGTTACCTGTAAGCCTGTTAACTTATTATCCCTGGCCCCTGGTCAGTGTCCGTGGTCAAAGTTTGCCAAACTCCTGAGGAAATAACCTTGCTTCCCTTGTTCCTTAGTTACTATTCCTGGCTTATGTCCAAAGGATTAGTTTACCCAATTTCCTAGATTCTCCAAGTAGACTTTGTAGTAGATCTGCCCCAACATGTAAGGAATAAAAAATAGGCAATGAGTAAACTTTCATACCTGGGTTCTCTAAAGAGCTAAACTCTACAACACCCATCACCACCTCCAGTTTGTTGTCCAGTTGATTTTTAATGCCTTTTTAATGCACAGCGTATATGTGCATGGTCAGTTAGCTGTGTGTGACTTTCCGCAACCCCATGGACTGTAGCCCACCAGGCTCCTCTGTCCGTGAGATTTCCCAGGTGAGAATACTGGAATGGGTTGCCATTTTCTCCACCAGGGAATCCTCCCAACCCAGGGGTCAAACCTGTGTCTCCTGCGTTGGCAGGTGGATTCTTTACTACTGTACCACCAGGAAAGCCCCAGCAAGCACTGTATAGTTTGTTTTATTTGCCAGAATTCTTCTAAGCCCTTTACAAAATTCTATGAATTTAATCTTCTAGTGGCACTATGATATAGGTACTATTTATTAGTAGATCCAGCTTACATTAAAAAAAAAAAAAAACACCCAAAGTCCAGAAAGAATAAATAGCATGCCCAAGGTCATCCAGCTTGTAAAAAAGAGCTCTTACCTGTTATGTTATGCTCCGTAGTTTAAAATAAGTTTTTATTTCTAATTACCATGTAATATGTGGTATACTAGTGATATCTGTAAAATACTGTATGAAATTTATAATGGAAGTAGTCCTATAATTCAAATTTTCCTTACTCTAAAACTTAGACGTATTAATACATTTTATCATAAAATTCTTTGTTTTTTTTACTATCTTCTTGAAAAGTTTATTTTTATTGGATATGTAGATTACTTCCAGCCACTTGTATTATAAACAATATGTAGACAACAACTTTATACAAAAATCCCTTTTCCTTAACTTGGATAATCAGCTTAATACAGATTCCTGATATTGCTTAAGGGTTATAATCTTTTCATGACTCTTGAACAATATTTGACATATACAAATTATTTTTAGAAGCTTATGTTAATTGCATTGCTATTATTATGTGTAACAAGGTTCACTGTAATTCACCAGCTTTTAGCATTACCATTTTTAAAAAATTTGCTGTGATTTGTGGGTATAGAATGATACCATGTTGTTCCTTTAATTTTGTGCTTTGCACAATTTGGGTGGTTACACATTTTATGTCTTTTATAATTTCCTTACGTAGTTTTTATGTACTTTGTTTCTGTGAATCTATAGACTTCAGTGTGTTTATGAAACATTTGAACCCTTGAACCCTTAGCTTATTATCAGAAGTCATAAGCTGGCATTCTGTTGACTGTGTTTGGCCAGTGGATCAATGCAGTGTGTTTGTTCTGCATAGTATTTTGAAATTTTTATTTAAAAATATGTTGCTAATGCTTAAATTAATTAGGTCTTGTTTAGATTCCAGCATTCTAGCCTCCACTGAGAAGTCAGGTCTCCGTTGGTTCTTCCATCCCCATTGACACAGTCAGCTTCAGGTACCCCCTTTAGATGGGCCAGGTGCTGTCCAGGTGACCTTGGGCTCCATCATCCACTATTGTTCCTGATCTTCTTCACTCATTTTCCTTGTCTGCCTGATCTTTCTAGGCATTCCAGGCACGGTCAGAAATCCTTTGTTGCTTTAAAAGCAAATGTGTTTCTCTTTACTTGTTTTCTAACAGTGACTGTTAACCTAGTTGTTTAGGCCAGATATATAAGACGCATCATCTGACCACCTTGGATAATGGCACAGTAATGGTGTCTTATTTTAGTGCCTTGCTTTTCTTCCATGGTTACCTAAGTCTGCTCCCTGTTCGTTGCAAGTCATTACCACTCTAGGCCCTCCACCCTGTTCTTCAGCTTGCTTAGTGTCCCTCTTGGGGATATTCTTATTCACAAGATCCTAGATGACAAAGAGTTTTAAGTCTGCAAGGTTGAGCTTGGAAAAGGATGGTAGAATTAAGTCCATAAAATCACATAAATCAGACGAAAAAGCTGGGAGACAGGCATCAAACTAATACAACATTGTAAATCAACAATATTCTAGTGTAAAATAAAAATTAAATTTAAAAAATGCTGTCATTAATAAATTCATTAATTGATTCTTACTGATAAAATAAACTGGTTAATCATTTTTTATTTTATAAGGCTTTGGACATGGGACCAGTTTATCCTAAATCCAGTGGTTTTTTGTTCGTTTGTGCTGATACTCTTGAGTATGAGGAAATAGAGCTGGTATGGTTGGGTGTGCTCCAGGGAGCTACTGTAGGAAGCAGAAGAGAATTCAGAGGTTAGGAGCTGAAGAGAATCTTGAGGTTCACTTCATTCATCTCTCCTTTTTTTGTAAATAAGGCCACTGAGACCCTCTGAGAAAACAAAAGCAGTTAGTGGTCTCCAACTGAACCATAGCCAGGGCTCTTGCCTCTGCTGATTCTTTTTCCCTTCACATACCTGCCTGTCGCTTACCAGGTGGCTTAGTGGTAAAGAGTTCTCCTGCCAATGCAGGAGATGCAGGTTCCATCCCTGGGTCAGGAAGATCCCCTGGAGGTGGACATAGCAGCTCACTCCAGTATTCTTGCCTGGGAAATCCCATGGTCAGAGGACGTTGGCAGGCTGCCGTCCATGGGGTCACAAAAGAGTCGGACATGACTTCGTGACTCAGCAGCAGCCCAAACCTGCTGCCCAGTGAAAGGGTATAGACTGGTTTTTGATCTAGGATGTTGGGTACTGTGTCCTTGATGTAGGAGGTCTAATTCAACAGTGGGCTCTGTGAACAGAAAGCTCATTGCCGTGATTGTTTCATCTACGTAAGGGTCAGGCAGGAAGCACAGGAATGAATGTAAGGATGGCTTGCCCAAAGGGAGGCTGCTTCAGATGTTGGTAATTAGGTCATGGAGGGTTGCCGAATCAGACGGCAGTGGAGTCACCAATGTAGATTCTTTAGCTTCCTAAAAGGACACATTTACTGTAAGGAATACATGTAGATAAAGGCCTATGGAATCCCTAACCCATACCAATGTGCAGACTCTTACAAAACTCAAATTACTGAGGATTCCTGGGAGTTCTCATCCCTGTTCTGTGTGAAATATTAGCAACCTTTCAGTTCAGTTCAGTCGCTCAGCTCAGTCGCATCTGACTCTTTGTGACCCCATGAATCGCAGCACGCCAGGCCTCCCTGTCCATCACCACCTCCTGGAGTTGACTCAAACTCATGTCCATTGAGTCGGTGATGCCATCCAGCCATTTCATCCTCTGTCATCCCCTTCTCCTCCTGCCCCCAGTCCCTCCCAGCGTCAGGGTCTTTTCCAATGAGTCAGCTCTTCACATCAGGTGGCCAAAGTATTGGAGTTTCAGCTTCAGCATCAGTCCTTCCAATGAACACCCAGGGCTGATATCCTTTAGGATGGATTGGTTGGATCTCCTTGCAGTCCAAGGGACTCTCAAGAGTCTTCCCCAACACCACAACCTTTAGGGAGAAGTTAATTTTCCATACAGGCCTGAGTGAGAAATATGAGTATAGATTGGGAATCTATCGCCAGAGTTGAAGGAACTCAGTAGGCTTTTTAGACACCAAGTGAATGATTTTCTTACTACTTTATACATTTATGTCTCTGAGTCTGTATTTCTGGTAGAACTGTTGCCACTGCATGTAAAACTGTAGCCATTTATGGGAGAAGGAGGATAATACATCTGCATTTAGAAATCATTCCTTCAGTTGACTGCATTGAGCCCAGTGGCTTTTATTACATTCTCCACTGAGCTTTCTAAACAACTGTTGAATTAAAGGCATGCAATTTTACCTTTAATTTATATGAGGTAAAGATGCATCGGGATTAGAATTTACAGGTTTTTGAAGTCCCTTAACTTCAAAATTGTGAAGATTCATAACAAACAGGAGAAAGGGAAGAACTGAATGATGGTACTATGAGAGCTGCTCCATGAATCTGCTGGTTTCTCTTTAATCGTTCTCATCTTTGCATTTCAACTACTCAAAATCAGTTCAAGTTGCTGTATCTCAGCTAGATTTTATGTCCTGTAATGAGCCCCCAGAAGAGAAGTTTGTTAATCTAAAAGAATTGCCAGTGGTATAATCACCTGTGTCAGCTCTTCCTCACTTTTGCAACTCACCCTGTGCTGCCATGTAACATGACCATATTTCTAAAATACATGATCTCATAGGTTTCCCCTCCTGGCTTCTACATTTCTTTATATTAAAAAGAAATTGCAGAATATTTGCTGCCTCAAATAGCCATGCAAATTGTGATTACACAGTTGTTTTATCTTTGAAGCTTAGCAAAAACGCAGTCATGGTTGAATGTTTGATTCCAGTAATTACAGCATCTTCTGTAGATTTCTTTAATGTATACATGTATGTCATTAAAACCTAGTTACCTGAATTTCTAGAATTTGTGTCTTCTGTTTCACAGCCTTGCTGGCCCAATTCTAGACATTGTTATTTGAAAATGACTCACTGAAAAATAAAACATTTCATTGAAACAGATATTTTCAGGAAAACTATTAAATATATTTCATATCATTCTTTCTTTGATTTCTAGGCAATAGCTTACCTTTCACCTGAAGATCTCTTGAAAGGGGAAATTGAAGACTGTCTGGAAAAGGTTCAAGTGACCATTAACATCTTAAAGACTTTCAAAAATTGTTTCTTCAACTATAGAAGAGGATTGGCAAGCTATTTTATGGGAAATAAGAAACTGAAACCATGGGATTTCCGGTCTTATCTGGTGTTTCGTAGATTTGACAAATTTCTTGATCGTTTCATGAAAATAGAGGTATTTACTTATTGGCTTCTAATTGATTTATATTGTAGGTTAATTCAAAAGCCCTATACCTTTTAATATGATTCAGGGAACAGATTATTTATTCTATTTGAGTAGGGGGTGAGAAGTTTGCTTCCTTGGTGATTTTCATGAGGAGCTTACAAGGCCAGTGCTGTCAAGATACAGTAAAAGTTTTAGTTTCAGGGTTTTGTTTACATTCAGAGCTTTGGTTTCTTTTTTCAAAACTTCATTAATCTTTACGTATCAGTGACCTTTGTGATCCTTGTGATCAAACCAGTCAATCCTAAAGGAAATCAGTCCTACTGGAAGGACTGATGCTAAAGATGAAACTCCAATACTTTGGCCACCTGATGCGAAGAATTGACTCATTGGAAAAACCCCTGATGCTGGGAAAGTTTCAAGGCAGGAGGACAAGGGGATGGCAGAGAATGAGATGGTTGGATGGCATCACCAACTCAATAGGCATGAGTTTGAGCAAACTCCGGGAATTGGTGATGGACAGGGAAGGCTGGCATGCTGCAGTCCATGGGGTTGCAAAGAGTCGGACACGACTGAGCAACTGATCTGAACTGAACTGACCCTTGCGCTACAACATACTAAGTTCCTAGAAGACAGTTGTAAATTGGGAAGCTATAAAATAATCCCTTTTTCTCTTTTACATGTTTGATGTTTTTACTGGGATTCCATACCTGAAAACTCATTTGATCGTCTAAATATTATGGTAACTTTTAGTATATAAATATATATGCTATACAGTTAAAATATTAAAGCTATCCATGAAAATAGGTGAAAAGAATGTGAAAACATGTGCTTTGTATAAATGTTTTAAATACCAAAAAATCAAACATTGAATGAATTGCCATGTGCCAAGTCACTTCAGTTGTGTCCTACTCTTTGCAACCCTATGGACTGTAGGGTCCCATAGGCTTCTCTGTCCACAGATTCTCCAGGCAAGAATATTGGAGTAGATTGCCATGCCATTCTCCAGAGGATCTTCCAGACCCAGGGATCGAACCAGGGTGTCTTAGTCTTCTGCATTGGCAGGGAGCTTCTTTACCACTAGCACCACCTGGGAAGCCATTGAATGAATGCATACATGTAAACACATTTAAACACCAGTTTCTATGGAGCCAACTGGCTACGATTTTTTTCCCCCCACGTTTCAAACTGCCTTTTTTTCTTTATTAAACTCTTTCTAGCAAGTTTGGGCTTTTTTGTTGTTAGATTTGTCAAATTTCATTCAAAATCAGAGTTTTATGTTTTGAAAATTCTCATCATTTAGGCAGCCCAAATGCCTTTTAATTTTTGGCTGCACCATGCAGTCTGCAGGATCTTAGTTCCCTGAGCAGGGATTGAACCCATGCCCCCTGCACTGGGTGCACAGTCTTAACCCCTGAACCACCAGAGAGGTTCTTCTGAATGACTCTTAAAGTCTGAGTGCCAAATGCATAACACTGGGCAACTTGCACCACGCTTTCTTAACAGCCCATTCACCATAGCTTTGGTGGATCTTGCCTGGGCATCTGACTTAGGATCCGAAGGATGTGAAATGAGAGAGTTAAATGTCTTGCTGTGGTTAAGTTAGATGTCACCTATACTGCTCAATAATTTTCAGTCCATGTGAAAATGGGAGTGTAATTTTAAAAGCAGGCAGTTACTTTGTTGATTTAAATCATAATAACATTTATTTTCTGTCATGTAAATGTCTATTGACTCACCAATTTTGAATGCTGGAAAATTTCTTTCTTTGAATCTTTAAAATGTTCTTTTCCTTCTCAAGAGGGTGGAAAGATCTTTACTGTATTTTTTCAAAGGATATATTTGTCACCATATTGGAATTTGAAAAGCTGGAAAGACTTGAATTTGGTGGTACCAAGGGAGCAATTTTAAATGGACAGATCTGTGAGATGAGTGAAGAATTTATGAAACAGTGGAATATTTTTAAACAAAGCACGTATGACCCATCTGATTACAATAACATGGTAATGTTGTATCTTTTTGTTTTCATTTCATAGACTCTTACTTTAAAGCTGGGAAGGACAGTAGGTCACAGTGATAATAGGTTCTCTCCAGTCCAACCTCTCTCGGATGAAAGAGGCAAAATGGCTTGCCTGGATTCTCTCATCTATTTCATGATAGATCAGGGACTAGACTTAGTCCTTTGCATTTTCAGTTGGGAATATTTTAAACTATTTCTAATAATGCAACAGTGGACCTCTGTCTGGATTTGTTTCTTGTTGATGTGTATTGAAAACTTACCATATTAACTCATCTTGATTTGATTATCTGGTGTCTGTGTAACTTGCATGTTTTATTTTAGCCTTTTCTTGAACCATTAAGTATATTTTTCATTTACTTGAATATTTAGTTTCATCTCATTTGTTGCACGTATTATTAACATTATGTAGTCTCTTTTTTGTTATTCTTAAGAGATAATTGTTAATTTCATATTACTAATCTCAGGGAAAAGAGGGAAGCTTTTCAGGTTTAAGCTGCTTCTGTTTTCTGTTACTGCCAGCAGGTTAGGGGCCAGGAGTTCCCTGTGAACGACCCTGCAGCTCTGGGATAAAAATAGCTTCATTTTAGTGTTTTGCCATGACAGTGAAGCCCAGGTACCAAAAACAAAAAGTAATGATTAGCTCTCACCCTCATTGTTTTTTGTGGAATGTGAATTTATTCACTATTATGTTTATATTTGGTCAAATAATTGACTCTTTGAAATGTACAAGTACAGTGTGTTAGCTTTGTAAGGACATGGTCTGCAAAGTGAATCCCTCTGAACTGTTGATAGCTTTTGGGAAGTGGAGTTAATAGTAAGAATGATACAGCTGTTGTGTGTGCTGCTAATTTGTGGAAAAGTAAGAGAAACCCAGATCTGTGGCGATGAATAGCCTGAGATCTCCCCCAGAGCCTGCTAAAATGCCTGGCACGTGGCAGGCACTCAGGGAATGTGGACAGACTGGGACTCTTGGAGGGACTTGGTTTAGCTCTGTGAGCAGCTGAGCAGTGGAGTGTGAGACCCACAGTGTGCAGACCCTCAGGTGCCTTCCAGTTGCAGGAGGGTCTTGATTTACTCACAATTACAAATCCTGCTAGGTTTTCAGCATGCCATTAATATATATACAGATACATATTTTATATATATATATTTCAGATATATATATCTGCCTGGTATTTGTATTTAGTATTTTGAAGCCCCGTTTACTTTGTAATTGAAAAGGGCAAGGCTTACCTCTGATCTCCAAAGGGTGGAGACATCTATAGCCTTCCCTTGAAGTTCCCTTTCAACCTCCAGTCTGATTATCTTGACTTTGGTTATTCCGTGAAATCAAAATGTGAAGTAACTAAAAGTTCAGTTAATTGGTGTGCTTATGTCAAAGATGCCCTTTCTTTTTCTTTAATGTGTCTTGGTTATCAGTGTTGCCTCAGAATATTGCAATGATTATTTATTTTGGCTTGACTAAGCTGTTCATTTGTTGAAGAGCTGAGTTCATTGTGTTCTGATTTTGATGATGAAGTGAAGTCCCTCAGTCATGTCCGGCTTTTGGCCCGACCCCATGGACTGCAGCCTACCAGGCTCCTCTGTCCTTGGGATTTTCCAGGCAAGAGTACTGGAGTGGGGTGCTATTTCCTTCTCCAGGAGATCTTCCCGACCCAGGGATCGATCCCGGGTCTCCTGCATTGTAGGCAGGTGCTTTACTGCCTGAGCCACCAGGGAAATCAGTGAAATTGCGTGATGAAATCAGTTGGTAATTTTAGGAGACAATACTTCGGCCAACAAACTCCTCCAAACTCATATTCATGGCGGTGTTTTCCTGTGACACACGCCCAGCCCCATGCCCTTGCTGTCCCACTGCACACACCGCTCCGTGTCCCCTGGCCCCCACCGAGCAGTGCGCATGCGGCGGTCCTGTGTGTCCTGCCGCCTTCCTGCCCTTTGGTGTAGAGATGGCTGACATGTGTTCCAGGAAATTAAAGAAACAGTGACTGGTAGTTTGTTTTCAGAATGCTGTTACTTATTTCTCTCTCTTCATTAATCTCAAGCCTATCAGTCAGGCTCTGAGCCTTTATTTATCAGAAGTTCTGCCACTGTGGTCGGTCTACAGAAGAGGGGGGGCTCAGGTGTGTCCATTAACGTGTCCTTGGGTTTCTGAATTATTAATACTGAATATAAAGGTCACTTTAGATATTTACTTTGATTGCTTCCTATGGGACTGTTTGAGATCTAGCCAATTATGGGGAGAGACTTGCTTTCTTAATTAATTAATTGAAACATGGAACATTGTAGGTGTTAAAGGTATATAACATGCTAATTTGAAGCATTTATAGATTTTAAAAACCATTGTAGTCATAATACCTCATCATGTTGCATAATTATCATTTCTTTTTAGTGGTGGAAATCATTAAGTTGTAGTCTCTTAGCAAGTTTGATGTTAGGGAGTATACACAGTGATACTGTATTAAATTGAACTTGACAAGAGGATTGCTTTCTTAACTCTTTGTATTTAACTGATAGGCAGGTGACTTTAGGTTCAACGGTTAGGTTCGACCAACATTCTGAAGTGTGGCTTGATTAAATAAAATTCCCCAGATAGCTACACAAGGATGGTGGATATTCTTGAAAGTAAGCCCTTGGCTCCACTAGAGTCAGTTATTCGGAGTTTGTTAATATTTACATCAAAAAAAAAAATTTACATCCAACAAATGTTGGATGCCAGACATCATGCCATACCTTTATATACATTCCTGCTTAATTCTCACTGTAACCCTGAGAATAACCACACAGGCAGATCAGTTCAGTCGCTCAGTTGTATCCGACTCTTTGCGACCCCATGAACCGCAGCACGCCAGGCCTCCCTGTCCATCACCAACTCCCGGAGTTGGCTCAAACTCATGTCCATTGAGTTGGTGATGCCATCCAACCATCTTATCCTCTGTCGTCCCCTTCTCCTCCTGCCCCCAATCCCTCCCAGCATCAGGGTCTTTTCCAACGAGTCAGCTCTTCACATGAGGTGGCCAAAGTACTGGAGTTTCAGCTTCAGCATCAGTCCTTCCAATGAACACCCAGGACTGATTTCCTTTAGGATAGACTGGTTGGATCTCCTTGCAGTCCAAGGGACTCTCAAGAGTCTTCTCCAACACCACAGTTCAAAAGTATCAATTTTTCAGTGCTCAGCTTTCTTCACAGTCCAACTCTCACATCCATACATGACCACTGGAAAAACCATAGCCTTGACCAGACGGACCTTTGTTGGCAAAGTAATGTCTCTGCTTTTTAATATGCTGTCAAGGTTGGTCATAACTTTCTTTCCAAGGAGTAAGCATCTTTTAATTTCATGGCTGCAGTCACCATCCACAGTGATTTTGGAGCCCAAAAAAATAAGTCTGACACTGTTGTCTTCGCATCTATTTCCCATGAGGTGATGAGACCAGATGCCATGATCTTAGTTTTCTGAATGTTGAGCTTTAAGCCAACTTTTTCCCTCTCCCTTTCACTTTCATCAAGAGGCTTTTTAGTTCCTCTTCACTCTCTGCCATCAGGGTGGTGTCATCTGCATATCTGAGGTTATTGATATTTCTCCCAGCAATCTTGATGCCGGCTTGTGCTTCTTCCAGCCCAGCATTTCTCATGATGTACTCTGCATATACGTTAAGTAAGCAGGGTGACAATATACAGCCTTGACGTACTCCTTTTCCTATTTGGAACCAGTCTGTTGTTCCATGTCCAGTTCTAACTGTTGCTTCCTGACCTGCATGCAAGTTTCTCAAGAGGCAGGTCAGGTGGTCTGGTATTCCTACACAGGCAGATAAGGGCAAGTAAATTACCTGAGATTACACAGTTCTCAGGGAGTGAAACAGAAGTTCCAACTCAGAACTCTCAGCCTAGAGAGAGTTTTTGCTATGTTTAGCAAAAACATATTTTCTGTGTTTTTGCTGTGCCATCTTTGCTCTTTAGTATTTGTCTCCCTCCTTGCATCCTCATAGAAAAGAAGTCAGTAAGTTCATCTGGGACAGTTGGGGGAACTCAGGCTGAGGACCTGTACCCTGAGGTGGAGTGACCCAACATGCTGTGGCTATGTTCCTTTTACCTGCTAGTTTGTAGTAGGAAGGTTGATCCAGATACCTAACCATCATTACTCTAGGATCTAAAATTCACTTTGAAAGTGGTTATTAATCTATACTAGCTTGTGTTCCAGTTTCTACAATTAGTTCTCAGATCTCTTCTAGTCTCGTTAACTCTTTATTGTTTTGCTATTACAGTATGGAGTATTTAAAAATTTTAGTTGCATAAATTTCTTCTTAGTCATCTACAGGATTTTCATGTCTTGCCTGCTGGTATACTCAGCCATAATGGGAGCTCCCCACAATGACAGATTTCTTATTATACTAAGAACCAGGAAGATCTCAACTGAGCAAAAAGAGAAAACTAATAGATGCCAGCATCAAGCTAAAACATGTTAGAATTATCTGACAAGGTTTCATAGAGCTGTGCTAAAAATGCTTCAGTAAGCAGTTACAACATAATGAAACAAATAAAAAATAACCTCAGTGAAGAAATATAAATTTTCACCAAAGAAATAGAAGATATAAAAAAATTGGAGTTTTAGAGCCGAAAAAAAAAAAAAAGAATTCAAAGAATACTGGACACTAATCCCTTATCCCATGTATGATTTGAAAATGCTTTCTTCCATTCCATGGGTTATTGGATCTGATACCCATGATACTGTCCTTTCATGCACAAAAGTTCTTAATTTTGATGAAGTCAAATTTTTTCTTTTGTTTTCTGTGCTTTCGGTGTTGTATCTAAGAAATGATTACCAAATCCAGTGTCCTAAAGATTTTCTCCTTAGAGTTTTATACTTTCAGCTCTTATATTTAGGCATTTGGTAAATGTTGAGTTATCTTTTGTTTATCTTGTATATGAACAAAATTATATGAACAGCTTTGTTATTCATAACTAATGTATAGAAGTAAACTGACT